CCCCTGAGTTCAATCCCTGGTATAAAGAGAGAGAGGGAGAGAGAGAGATAAATAAAATCCTAACCAATTAACTCTACTTAGATTGTCTAAGATGTCATTGATAGTGTCTGCTGCTCACACTCTTGTAACAGTGTTCTGTGACTGTCCTGTGAAGAGCCRCCACATAGCTTGGACCTTAGCACTAATCTAAGAGAGTGAGAGTGATATCTGCAAAGCTTCTTAAGGAGTGTACTTTGAAGTCACATTTTACCTCTGTAGAGTTCTATTAGGTCAAATAAGTTCACTAGCCCAGCTTAGAGTCAGAGCGGGAGCAGTTATGACAACCATACTGCAGTCTATTGCACAATGCACTCTCAAGGAKCTCCTCTTATTTAACAGCCTCATGAACAATTGTCTTCTCCTATGATCAAGTTCATGCACTTTATTTTTTTCAATATGAATTTTCATTGCATTCCATTACACTTTTAGATTTCTGTGCTTTAACATTTATGGAACACTTCCATGTGCTATTTTCAGTACTTTATGTAAATTAAGTAACTTAATTTTACCACAGCTTTTCAATTAGGTAATATTATTATTTACATTTTCCCACAAAAACAATCTAGGACATAGAAAGTTTATCTAACTTACCCATGTGACTAAAAGATTTAATGATTCAGTTAGGATTTGGATGTAGGCTTTACAACTACAACATCTACATGCTTAACCATAATGTGATTAAAGCATAATTTTTAAAACTTTATCTTATTTATTATTTTYTATGAATTTTGAATGCAAGAATAGATAATATTCTCACTGGTCAAATACAATAAGATCTATTAGACTATGACTGATAAATAACTGAAGAGAACATTGCCTTTGTCTTTTTCCTACTTGATGCTACCAAATTCCTTTCACTCATCTTTCACTCCAAACAAAACAAACAAAAATTTAAAAAACCCCAAATAAAACAAAACAAACCTTAAGCCAACTATTAATAATATATTCCAAAACTATTGTTAAAAATAGATTAAATTTAAGTTAGTATTCATTAACAGGAAATCCATTACTAAAATGTGTAAACCAATAGGACTAAAAATAAATTTGTATATTTAATTCCTTGGGAAAAGGAAGTTGATGAAATCCAACACTCAATTCTATATTGAAAAATAATGCATTCAATAAAAGAGAAATTAATTTTCTTCAAATGACTTATAAATCAGTTTTACAAGGAAATCTTAGAATCATTTCTATGAAATTTTAAAATAAGACAAAAATGGAATTATCTTCACTACAATTGCAAACATAATTTTAGAACTACAAACAATAAAATTAGACAAAGAGGATAACTAGTCTTGTAAATATTGGAAAGAAAGACATAATTTATCTTTAGTTTTAGTTCATTTGAATGTATATTTGGAAGAATATTACAAAGTACAAGTGAGTACATACAGGAAATTGAAAGATATAAAATTTAAATTGAGATACGAGCAGAACTTTATACAAATAGTRAATAGTAGACATACTATAAGAAAGTTAAGYTTTTCATAATACCAACACAAAAGATAACAGTACTAGGTTTTAATTTAACCAGATGTATACAAAACCTATAAAGAAACAAATTGTAAACACCCAGAAACACAGAGTCACTTTTATTAAATTAAATTATTGATTTTCTTTCCATCCTTTTCATATTCTGTTTCTCCCTGCTTTGCCATTTTCAGTCTCTTACTCTGAGTACTCATGCACTCAATATTGAGAAACAAGAGAAGATGATTGCCTATTTAATATAATTTACCAATACTGTCTAAAAGTGGACAGGTGGTATAATGAATATGGTAGAGGAAAAATTAAAACCCAGGGTAACATTTGCATCTTGTAAAGCTTAGCAAAATATTCTTATATCAATTAATCTGCCTTCTTAGGGGGGAAATTACAAATATATTTTCCTTTTGATTGCAGGAGATTTTCATTGATTTTATAAATAAAAAAGTAAACTTTCCTATCCAGACCTTCTCTAGAAACAACTATGCAGACACCAAACCAGGTAGGAATAAAGGGAAGCTTGGTATTGAGGCTATCTTTATATTCAGCTACTTTGGAAAGCATTTCCTTGGCATTTTTAATTAATAAATTAATTTGTTTATTTTTATGGTACTGGGAATTGAATGCAGGGGCACTCTACCACTGAGCCACACCACTGGCCCTTTTCACTGTAATTAGAGACAAGTTCTCTTTACATTGCCCAGGCTAGCCTCCAACATGTAAATCCTCCTGTTTCAGTCTTCACAGTCACTGGGATTACAGGCATGCACCACCACACCCAGTGGGATACATGATTCTACATGTATTTTACATGATTTTTACATGTATTCTTCATGATTTTATGATGAGTCACACAAAACACTCAAAGGTGTTGAAAGTGTCAATAAGACAATATTAGAAGTTACACAAAACACATACCTATATCAATTTACATTTGAAATATAAATACTCTGTTAGCACAATTTAACAATTTCTAAAACTACTAGATCCCTAACAGGTCTGCTCTAGTATCTATGATATTGAWTTCAACATAAGTACACAAAGGAARCAAACTTCCACTGAAAGACAAAAAACAAAAAATGAATGGTGGTGTGAAAAATATATGGAATAAAAAGATAAGAACATAGCACTGGGACAAAATAGGATCTTCATAAATAGATAATAAAATTTAATGATTTGGAGATACACTTTATTTCTAAATTAATTCCACTTTTTTGTGCAATAAATGTTATCCATGAATTTTCTCCAATAATATTCACAGATGTGACAACTGATCTTGGGAAAACAATAAGATTGGATAAAGTCATTTCARTATGCTTGTACTAAGTAGCTGGCTGCTTAAAAAGCTTGTTGCTGAAAGTCATGTTTTAATAACATGGAAATATTTTATTTATAACACTTTCAATGATCACAAGTAATAARTGAGACATTTGTGCAGATAGCTTACTAAAAACTACCTATTCTTAGGTGTGAACRTCTAGTKCGTTCGGGTCCCTGGGTAAGGGTCACGAAATCACCGGGACACAGGGGATGCAGAGCCAAGGCAGCAATTGCAACTGCATGCTGAGGTTTATTTGCATGTTCCTTTTATATTCTTCTTCTAACAAAGCAAGCAATTCTTCAGTAACACTTCATCCACATAGCCCAARTATCATGTCTCAGCGGGTACACAGAGCTAAATTCAGATTGTTCCTGTTCATTTGATAAGTACCCTCCCAAAGTTCTTTGTAGACATTATCTAATCCCTGAATGTACTGTTCCCAGGTCCAGTATGCAGGAAGCTTCTTCCTCTAGGCCAAACCATGCAGAAGCTTGTGTCTTGTGATAAGGGGAAAAGGACTTTTCCTCTTCCTAGCGAGGCATGCCTTCAGCTGACCTAAATCACAGCCACAGCTTCTTGCAAAGTGTCAGGCTGAGGGAGCTAAACTCTGCACACTTAAACCCCAACACTTAGGCCCATTTTTCCTTCTTGCCTTTCTCAGTTGTCTGAAGAACTCTAGCAAAATAATTGGCTTCCCACATCTCTTTAATATCAAGTATTTGAAAGAGATTATATTAACTTCTTGTCTGTATATGAAAAGGAATATGTAATATGGAGTAGAGTGTTGTCTTGATTAAAGTGAAATGGGGCATATACTCAACCGTCAAAATCCTCAAAGGGTTTAACTTTTTAGATAGAACATAAGATCAATGGGGAAAGAGATTAAATGGTGTGGGTAGGACAAGTTAGAACAGATCTCATGAGAACAGGGTGGAGTGAAATGAAATAGATATCATTTCCCTTTGGGAAGTGAGGGCCTAATTGTGCTCTGATGAAAAAAAAAAAATCTTTAAGCTGTTCATTGAATTTTTTCTTGTTGTTGTTACTATGGATTGAACTCAGGAGGTACTTAACCACTCAGCCACATCTGCAGCCCTATTATTTATATTTTATTTATGCACCACTTCACTTGGCTTTGTTGACTTCTTGAAAAACAACCTTTGACCTGATGAATGAGACTTTCCATGGATGAGGGAATAAGGACAACATTGCCAGACATTTGTTCTTACTGTCCTTATGTCAGTTAYRGTAYATCAGTTAGGGRAAAAACAAAACAAAATAAAAAAACATTAGAACAARGTCAATGTAACTGTGTCTTATTTGGAAACTGAATAAGAAATAGAGATGAAAACATTGTTTTAGAAAAATTAATTTKGTGGCAGTTTTTTATAGGGTTTCAAAAGATATAAAGCACTTCTGAAATTAAAATCTAGTAGGAGTCTCACTGTATGGTGCTGAGAGTGAGCCTAAGAGTGAGGGAATCTGAATGGATGTTTGAATCATAGACTAAGAAATGAAGAAGAGGCAATAACCCACAAAAGAGTAAAGGAAAATCTAATTTTTTTGTACTTTTCATTCAATGCACAGAAAAATATCTGGAGAATAGTTTAATCTTACAGTATTTTTTGTTGCTGTTGAATCAAGTCCAGTGAGAAACTTATTCCAAAGAGGAAAACTAGGGAAAGTAGGAATTATTATATTCTGCTAGTGAAATTAGTTAGTGCAGCCAACCCATTACAAAGATTAAAGTCTAGTTCAGATTTTTTTTTCCCCAGTAACAGACTATAGTAGCAGAAGCCCATATGTATTCAGGCAACATTTACTCATTGTTAGTAAAGATAACAAATAAATAGACACATGATTGGCTTACTTTACTTCCTTCCTTAAAAACAATATTCTACATAGCTGGTATTCATAACATGCGTAGACTTATAGAATTAACTCCTTCAAAATATGTTTCTAAAGAGCATGAACACAAGTTGCYTATCCTAAAATAATTTATAATATACACTGTAAATGTGTAGAATATTTTCAGAATCAGAGGCAATCATTTCTGGGGATTTAATACTACTTTATTCTTCTTCTGGGATTGAAAAGGAGTGTAGTTACAGGGTGAAGGAGTGTTTCAACTATTCCAGACTGAGAGTGTATATTTGCAAAACTGCAACCCACTGATATTTGTATTATGCCTCAGGGAGTCTACAATGCATTTGAAGTTCCAACTCCTGGAACATGGAAAGGCCCAGTCCAGAGCACTCTAATGAGCTTCAGTTTAAGAACTGTGGCTTTGGATTTAATTTGGCACATGCACAAAGTTTTTGCTGCACTTGGATAGAGACATAGTATGCCCTTATCTTGGGTGCTATTAAGGAATCCAAATCTATTCGGAAAAAGATCAAAGTGACCAGAGCACTGCAATGTGTGATCTATAGAAATTGAAAGGGTTTCCTAAGAGGACTGTCCACAAGAAGCAAGTCCTGGTGCTCATGGGGACAGTCTCTAAGAGACAACCTCCAGTCCCCAGGGAAGACCTTAGAGAGAATAATATAGGTCTTTGCCCTTTGGAGACCTGGACATTAAATAAGGTACAGGAAAAAAAAAAAATAGGATCTGGAACATGAACTGTGTTATCCAAATAGAGGAAGATGAGCTATGACTTCAGGAAGAGTTTGACACACCTGGTAAACAGCAGTGGAACACTGTCCTGGGTCAATAATTCATCAAAGGAAACCAGTAGAGGCAGGAAATATAGTGTCAGGTTACAAACAGCAGTCATAAGATAGGGAGACTGAGGAGGGTAAATACTGTCTTATCTGGTCTAATCTAGGAAAAGGCAGGATTAGCCTACAAAACAGGAATGATGGGGAACAAACTGAAGAGAGGCAGAGGAACAAACTGAAGCCTGATCAATGATGCTGAAAAATTCAAAGTTTTAAAATATGCTTTTTCTTCTCTATAATCATTTGATTGCTCAGCCAAGTCATAACTGCTTTGTTTCTAAAAACTACAGGTCATCTTCTATTTCTTCAAGTTACAGTTTAAATCTCTGTGCGAAATTGAAGTGTAGTTCCAGATATTTCGTTTTTATAAAGGGCATCAAATTTCTCATTCTGGGCCACTGTAAAGTAATTTTTCCAGTCACCAGTAATCCCTAAAAATAAAAAAAGAAAACATATGAAAGATAAAAATACATCCATTATGAAGAAAAACCTAACATGTACCAAAGGAAAGATTAGAAGCCTTAAGAAAAAACTTTGCTTGTATATGAAAACTTTAAAATGTCATTTCCTTAAAAAGTTGGACATTTTCTCTCATCTGTAAATGTGACTTATATCTAAACATACAGTCTAACCTTTTAAAAAGTTAGAAAGGCTGATTTTCTTATACAAATACATGGAAGTAAATTTTTTTCCTGAGAGAGATTTTTTTTTTTTTTTTACTTTTTCTGACTGTTCTGGGTCATGGGGTTATCACTGTATCCTCTGGATCAATAGTGAGGGCATAGTATGTTTCCTGAGTTACTTTGGGAAAATGTACAAAGAAGATTCATTAGCCCAAAAAACTATGAAACAGAAAGCTGATGAGTATAGTTTTCTAGTATTTATAAGTGAAAATGTGATGATATTTGGAAGATACTTGTTTTCATCAGGTATGCACTTTTTTGCAGTTTTGGTAAAAATAACAATAATAAAATCACACATATAACATCCCTGAACATCTTTTAAAAAATTAAATGGGGGGGGTATAAATTTACATTTAATTTCTCATACTTGGATGGTTATAAAAATTAATTTTTAAATGAATGAACTGTTAATGTGCAACAAATGTTCTTGGAATAATACTTTTCCCATTTTATAAAATATTAACTATACCACATTGAATTACAAACTATGTTAATTCATGATACTTTAATAAAACTTCTAAGTTCTCTAAGTGAAAAAGTCCTTCTAACAAGGTTGTTTCCTTGGTTATTATACTTTATTTTATGTTCACCAGATGTCAGTAGCTCTTTGTAATSTACATGAAGATCAACACAGACATATTTGGGGTAGTGCATCTTCAAAGATGTCATTAAAAACAGAGAACACAAATTTAAGAAATAAAAGGCTGTACATTAAGCATTATAGGGGTCTTCTGATCTGTGAATAAATTATGCAATAACCACAAACACTTTGTAATATTTTTTAAAATAAACTAAACACTAACTAAAGGTCAGATATTTGTTTTGTTGCAATTTGGGACATTGGATATCATCTGTCCCCTCCCTATTATGGTGTCTGTTGTGCTACTAAATGAGGACATTGATTTTTCCATGAAGTAGCCTTCAAGACTGGGTGTGACTGACTCCTGTGTCCTATACCCSTTCCAGCATTCAATTTTATGATTCATATACCCAATCATTAGCTCTGTGAAGCAAATGTTTGTGTCATTTATCCCTAAATGGCCTAGATAATAGTGCTGCAAATAGGTATTCAAAAAGAGCTTTTCCTGTATGTGAATTTTTAAGTGAATACATGAAAGAGTGAATGAATGAATCTTGAACTATGTAGACTCATAATATTTATTTATTTATTTTTTGGTTTTGGTTGTAACTGGACACAATATCTTTATTTATTTATTTATTTATTTATTTTTTATGTGGTGCTGAGGAGCAAACCCAGGGCCTCCCACATACTAGGTGAGCACTATATAGCTGAGCCACAATCACAGCCCTGACTCATAATATTTATTACTTCTTTATGTGTAGTTTAGAAAATATCCTAAATGCTTTCATTTCATTTGCTATAATCTTCCCACAAAGCTTGAGCTATAGATGTTAATATTTTCCCCATTTTGTCAGTGAGGAAGGYATAGTTTTGGTGGGGGACTTAATGTATTAAATGTCATAGATTTTAGCAAATGCATAGCCTGGATATATATTTTAGATCTATCTAACCACAAATGTTTGATCTGTGTCACCACTAGAGGAGATACAAAAACTGACCCATTATTAGACAGGCATACACTTTACTGTTGAAATTGAAGAAGTCATAGCATCCAAATAAAGAGCTGGTCTCCTCTCCTTGTACATCTTATGAGATACCATAGGTGGCCTCTATTTTCATGTGATTGGAGGTAAAACTCTCCTGGAAATTACATAACTTTAACTCGTGGACAAAATTGCATAGGGAAAAGCAGCAAATAATTGATTTCCATCCTGTCAAAAACTACTATAATATTTATGTGTTTATTCCACACAAGACCAGTGTGCATCAAACAGAGTAACCAGTTACTGTTCCCAACTTTATGCTCAGGAACCTCAGCCCTGACACTAGCCAAAGTAACCAGTGGTCATAGAAAGAAGGAGGGTACAAAAATACTCTGATGTTTAATATTAATATATCTTCCTACAAATAGGCAATTCTAACATCGTAAAATTAATCCAGGGACTGGCATGTCAGGCTGAGGACAGCCATGTTGAAAGTCCTTGATATGCTCTCACATAACTGATTTTGTTACAGATGAGCTTGACTGATATTTATTCTTTCTCCCTCCACCAGCATGATACTGTTCCAGAAGTGGAGAAATAAAAAACAGACAATTTGTATTCATCTGTTCAGTCCTTTTCAAAATATGAATTTGATGTATTTTTCTAAACTTTGTGGTAAAGGATACATACTACCTTTAAAAATCCATTTTGAAGAAGGAAATATTAAATGTGACTCCTTGAGAAATGATTTTTTTTACACAATTTTCTTAAATGAGGTAAAACTGTATGTCAAAAACAAATGCTATATTCTTCTATGTTAAATTTGTACTCTAAGTATCCTGTAATTCAGATAGTATCCATGGGTAACAACAATTTCCCAAAGTGCTAAAAATTTTTAAAAAATGCTTTCTTTTGGTGAATCTCCTTAGTAAATTTATCACTATTGTCTAAATGAACTAGTGACTGTAAAGAACAGAGTTCTGTAACTGAGTAAAATTTATATATCATTGAGGAGTGGAAAGGGGCCTATGCCAATGTAGACAAAGAATTAAAGAAGTAAGAATGACAAACTTGGAATTATATCACAATTGTCAAAAAATCACTCTCACTTAACAGAATAGTAAATAAAAGGAGAAATATTCTTCAGATATTCAATGTTTTCTACAAAGAGCTTTCACACATTGCTTCATTTAATAATGTTGACTCTAATTGAGCAAATTTTGGTGCTAGGTAAATATTAGTGTCCTATTTTTACAGATGAAGAACTGAAGCCTAAAGAGGATAAGTAATGTAGAAGAGGTCACAGAGATAATCCTCCAGAAGAAAGTAAAACAGAAAATTAAAATGAACAAAGAATTTACCTTTACGCATGAAAGGGGATTTGCTGTGGTCCAACATTGCAGTGGGCAGGTGTGTGTAATTCACCAGAGGATTGTCCTTCATCACTTCAAATGAGGTGTGATGGATGATCTTATCCAAGATCTCATCATTTAGGTTCTTCTCYAGAAATCTAGTAATCTTCTTGATTTCCTCCTTTGGATTCTATCAGTGGGTAAAACACACATCCAAGGAAATGAAAATTGTGTAAATGACTATCATAATGTAAAAAAAATACACATTTATAATTTTCTTATGGGTTGATTCTAAATGTTGAAGGMAATTTAGAGTTGGTTGGGTGCATTCTCCTTAATTTTTAAAGTAATTAAACATTGACAACTCAAAATATGTTCACTTTGAAAACTAACTGATTATGCCCAACTTTGTTGGTCATAAACTTTTAAGAAATAGTAGATTCCAGGGCTCAGTGTTAGAGTATTTGCCTAGCATGCTTAGCCATTGGTTTAATCTGAGCACCTCTAGAAAGGAAAAAAAGAAGAAAAAAAGAATGATGGATTCAAAGGTGCAAAGATATCAAGACCTAAATTACCATTAAATATTAAGGATAAAATGAACAAAATATGAAAAGTGGATCATTTTCAGTTGTTAATGACATAAACTTATCTTTGTAACTTCTTTGGAAGCATTTAAGCCTATGTGGATGTGTCTAGAAAGATTTTAGGAAAGTTAAGCTGAAGTTGAGAATGATGAGTTAGAATTTACTAAACTGCATTGTCTATTTGTATGTTGGAGAGTGACATAAATATTCATGGAAAAAGTGAACATGGAATGATTGCTCAAATGTAGCAAACTATTAAAAAAAAAACTTGAGTTGATGGACAGTATCCAAAGGCTACTCATGAGTGCAAAATCTGGGTAAATGTAAATTTAGAAGAAAAATTTGAAAAGAAAGGATGGTCAAAAGAAACATAGTAATGAAGAGACAAGAATAATGGATATAAGTCATTGATTTTATAATTAGAATGYTATTAATGATGGTATGAAGATGGATAAGAAGATATAGGAGATAGAAAATCAATGATATTATTTTGGACTTGATAGATTAATTTTAAAAGTAAACATTAATCTTTATATCCTTGGACAGGGCAGGGATGTTATCCARAATAAATATCTACCACTTTTACCTCTTTCAAATCTTCATAGTACAAGAAAAKTATTGGATGTTCTTCCTTTTTCTTCCACCAGCCCTTCACATGATTAAACCATGAACCATAGGCCACTAAAACCAGGGGGGGGGGGAAAGTCTATTTCCATAAGCATTTATTAAATCAATTTTTTCCTGAACAATAAGTTAAATCGTAAAGACATTTTGTGGAATTTGGTGATCATTGGAACTGAGAATATAAAATCAATTTTTAAAAGGTAAAATTACATATTTTACATGTATAAACAATTAAATTTTTTAAAATGTGAAATACAAAGGAAACATTTCAAATAAAAATACATTGACTGCTAATAAATTACACTCGACCTCACAAGGAAGGAAACTATTTTTATACACATTGTTCACAACATATATCTGACTATTATAAATACAATTCAAGCTTAAACTTAAAACTTAAAACAGATCTAACTAGTGATTTGGGCAAGTTAAACAATATTTATTGTGAGCAGAGAATGAGAATGGATTTCTAGCAACTGAGAAAGGATTCTAAAATACTTTCATTATGATTCATATCAAGTTTATAAATTGAATATCAGAGTAAAATGTTAGATATATTTCATTTAATTTTCTAAAATAAAATTTGAATGCATTTCTCCTGGATTTGAATGTACTGACTTGAAAAAAAAATTTTGAATGAAAAAGTCATAACAGTAATGGTTAATAGTATTGTTTAAAATTTTTAAAAATTATAAATTATAAGCTAAGGCCTACTTACCATCTCCAGTCATAAATTTCTCCAGATATTCTTCCCATGATCCAGGAAAAGGTTGCAAATTATTCATTAAGTCAAAATGGTAAAATGATACTGCAACATCCTTGGCATTTCGAGCAAGATAAATCATCTTCAGGAGGAAGGAAAAAGAAAATGAAATGGAAGGTATTTTTACCAAAAATAAAATTTAAAAACTATAGGTAATTAAAATGGCAGAGTAGGTTTTCTCCTAGAAACTCTGGGACCATAATGTTTCTTCATCAACACCTCAAATATAGAATCAGTTTAATTGATTTTTTTCTAGTAGGGCAATGCTTGTATGAAATGAGAACCTGAGATATCTGTATGCTTTGGAAAAACCTTGTTAGTTTCTGGCTCCCTTAACTCTGTGGTCTACAAAGAAACCATGACATCTTTAGGGAGCACAAAGAATACCAACCAATTTGAAAATAACAAATTGTGAGACTTTGGGGCCCTAAACTCTACCACTTAAGTACCTGGAAACACATGACAGGTTGAAAAAGATGACTGCAGTGGAAAGCAAGGACAGGCATTAAAATCAGTTTCTAGGGGTATCAGTTTAGAAACTGGAAGACACAGATCCACTTGCCCTTGCTTTTCTCCTCTAAAGATCACTAAAACCCTAGAAATTTTTCAACAGACAGTGATATAGGAATACTGAAACTATACAGAATAGTCACCTCCTAACTTGAGGACATCAATATAGTAAGCTCCCTCTGTGGGCTTTTTTGTTGGTTTTTTTTTTTTTTTTTTTAAATCTCTTGTATGCTGTGAATTGGGCAACAAGGAGGTTTGTGACCTGGAACTATTAGCAAGCATAAACCAAATAAAACAATACCCAGAAAAACCTGATCCTAGACAAAGGATCAGGAAATATAAGCCCAAAAGAGATATACTGGAAAATCCCAAACTCTATTCTACACCTGGGGCCCATCTACATGACCTGACCCACTGCCAGTAATGGCAGTGACACCCTGGGCTTTCATAGCTTCTGTTCCACGGCTGGGGCCCTCATGGGTAGTTCCAGGTACCACAGCAGAAACAGCAGCAGAGCTCTGTTTCTGCATGCCCTCCACCAGGTGGCACAAGGAGACCCAGCCATGAAGGCTCTGTCCTCCTTTCAGAAAGTCAGTCAGCACTAGCAGGTCCAAGGGGGTACCATACACCTCTGCATAGCGTGAGCAGGGACAGAGCAAGATCACCAACAAACCCAGAATGTCAACACAAGAAAAACATTGCAGGGACTCGTGAAAATAAACTCCTATAGGAACAAAGTTCCCAAAATACAGTAAAAATTTATATGCTAAACCTCAACCAGATAAATAACTACTAAAATAATCCCCAAAACATAATGAAAATATATAGGATCCAAATAAAAATCATTTGTCTTACCCAAAACTAGGAAAATAATAATTTAAATGTGAAAAGACAAAAGACACCAATACTAATATGTATTAAGACACCAATACTAATATGTATTAAATTTTGACATATCTGGCCAATATTCTAAAACAACTTCATAAAGCAGCTTCAAGATTCAATTAAAAGTTTTTTTTGAAACAAATAAAAACATAAGAAAGAATCATTTTATACATGAAAAGTTTTATATACATGGGAATTATAGATCTAAAATATACAATAACTGAAATAAAAAGCTTAATAAATGGACTTAATAGTACCATAGCTGTAATAGAGAATAAAATCAGCATGCCTGAAGATATATCAATAGAATTTACCAGATGTATGAGACAGAGAGATAAAAGACTAAACAGAAATGAAAAGTACCTTGGGGATCTGTGAGACAATAACAAAAGATTTCATGATCTYATATTCAGAATACCAGAATGATAGGAGAAAGAATTTTTAAAAAATCTGAACAATGATTTGGAGAATTAATGAATAAAACCATCCATATTATTATGGTTTGTATATGAGGGGTCCCCCAAAAGCTCCTGTGTTAATGCAGAATCTTACTTTGAATGGACTAACTGGTTGGTAACTGTAGATGGATGGGGCATAGTTGAAAGAAGAGGGTCACTGGGAGTATGAGTTGGAAGGGTTCAATTTCTCTGTGGTTTCTCTCTCTCTCTCTCTCTCTCTCTCTCTGTCTCTCTCTCCCACCATGAACAGAGCAGGGCTGCTCCACCATGCCTTTCCTCCAGGAAGTTCTATTTCTCCTTGGGCCCAAAGTACTGGAGTCAGTCCACCAAGGAACAAACTTCTGAAACCATGAGCCTAAAATAAACTTTTCTTCTTCTAGGTTGCTCTTGTCAGGTATTTTGATCACAGAAACAAATGCTAACACTCATGCATATTTAAAAAAAATAAATCTATAGATCCAAAAAGCCAAAAGAACTTCAAAAAGGAGAAACCCAAATAAAGTCAGACTGTTATGGTCTGAGCTTAATCAATATAGATTACAGATTATAAATTATAGATTATAGGGTATGAAATATTAATTAATAAGTAGGACTAYAGGATTATGTGATAAGTGTTATAGAATAATGTTAAACTGTTTCTAAGATGTTAAAAATTGTTTTTCTGTACTTAATATGCCCACAAATGTGCTCAAACCCAGGATGTGTTGTCTGTTTTGCTCTGCTAACTGCTGTCTCCGCCCTTGTATCCTGCTTGCTTGACTGCACCTACATTTCTTAGGATATGTTTTTTTCCCCTTATAAACCCCACAGAACTGGGACCTGATGCAGTTCCTTGCAGAGACAATTTGGGTCCTGCAGGGAGCAGTCCCATCTGGCTACATAAAAGACTCTAATTTGGACAAAATTCTAAATGAGAGTGTTTTCTGAGCAATCAGCCCACAATAAGACCAACACACATTTGTAAATAAACTTCTGAAATATAAGGACAAATAAAAATATTAAAAACCAGCCGGCAAGATGCAACACTGCAKACGAAACACCATTGATTTGAATGGCAATGAATTTCTCAACCAAAAATCATGGAAGCCAAAGAAGTGGCATAATACTTTTCAAGTACAGAAAGCAAAATATTGTCAACTCCAAATCTATATGCAGTTAAAACTGTACTTTAGGCAGGAAGGGAAATAAAGATATTCTCAAATAAAAGGGGGGGAAAAAACTACTACTTGCAGATCTATCTTAAGAAATGGCTGATGGAACCTCTGAAGAAAAAAAGAAAATAATCATAGAAGAATTAAATCTTCAAAAAGAAAAAGAGCAAGAAAATGGGTAAAAGAGAGGTAACATAAAAGAATATCTTTGACTTAGTGAGTTTCTTCTTTTTATTTTATAATTGAAGCAAAGTTGCACCAGCATGTGATGAGGCACTTTTTTCATGTCCAGRAAATACTTTAGACCATTATGTTTAACATACGGGGAGGAAATAAAATTGAAGATATCTATATTTTCTTTGAAGGAGAAAAATATTGACAACCATAGTCTGTGATAAGTTATATATATTTATATATTTTAGTCATATCTAGAGCAGTCATTAAGAAAAAATATATCTAAAAACAAAAACAATAACAAAAAACTCAAAAACATTATAAACAAGTCAATATGAAACTCTTTTTAAAATAATTCTGGTAAATGGTTCTGGTAAACAAAGAAATGAAGAAAAACTAGAAACAATGGTATGACAAACAACAAAAAGCAGARGAAAAAACATGATGGATTTCAGTTTTAAAATCTCAATAAGGAGGGGAGGGAGGGATAGGRAGGGCAGCAGAATACAACTGACACTAGGATTGCTGTATGTATACACATGGATGTATAACCAATGTGATCCTGCAATCTGTACACGTGGAAAAATGAGAATTCATACCCTATTGAATCAAATGTATGATATGTCAAGATCATTGTATTGTCTTGAGCAATAAATAAATAAATAAATAATAAAAAAATAAAAATAAAATATACATAAATTATATACCAAAAAATAAGCGTTTTAAATGTACATGGTATAAGTATATGTAAATTGGCAGAGTACATTTTAAAAAAACAGGATTAAATCACATGATGTTTACAAGAAACTCACTTCAAAGTGACAATAAGTTGAAAGTGGATGGAGAAAGAAATCTAAGGCAAATATTCAYTAGTAAAATCTAGGAGTGACTGTATGAATATGAGACAAAATAAAATTCAGTACAAAAAATTACTGGGGACAAGAAAGGACATTGCATAATGACAAAAGGATTAACCCACTAAGGAAAGAATACAATCCTATTGCCCCAAAACAATATTACTTCAAAATACATGCAGCAAAACCCGGTAAAGCTAAAATCAGCAATAGACAAGTCAAAAGTTATAATTTTGGTGTTTATAGTCCACCCTMACTAGCTGACGGAACCATCAACCAGTAGAAAACAAGAAAAGATAAAGAACTGAATAATATTATCAGACAACAGGGTCTAACCAAAATCTATAGACCATCCCAACTAACAAGGAAAAATGCATTCTTCTTAAGTGTCCATGGATTTTTCACAAAGATAGATCAAGATAAAATATATTTTACAGAATAAAATTATATAATGTATGGTCTTTGATGAAAATGGAATCAAGCTAGAAAGCAATAACAAAAAGGCAACATGAAAATACTTAAACACTTGGAAATTAAACAACATACTTTGAAATAATCCTACAGCAAAAGAATAAATTTCAAATGAAATGAAAAGATTCATAGTATTGAATAAAAATTAAAGTAAAAGATATCAAAATTTGTGGAATGGAACCAAAGTAATTCTGAGAAGAAAATTATTACACTAAATTCTACTCTAGAAATAAATGAAAGACACCAAATTAATAATCTACATTCTTACCTAAAAAATTAGGAAAAAAAAGAGTAATTAAACCCAAAGTAAGCAGGAGAACAATAATAAAGATAAGAGCACAAATCCATGAAAATAAAAGTAAAAATGAAATAGAAACAAAAATCTGGATTTTTAAAAATTAAATTAATAAAATTGATAAACTTCTAGCAAGAACAACAAAGTTAAAAGAGACAAGATACAAACAACCAAGATCAAAAACAAAATGGTGGATATCATAACACATCCTAAAACCACTATAAGAATGAGGTGGGTATGTATTATGTGAATAATTTTTCATTCATAAATTCAACAGCTTGGAAAATTACCTCACATTCACAAACTAGTAAAATCAGGTAAAATGAAATCAATAATCTTAATAACACTATAGCTATTGAAGAATTGAATTTGAAATTTAAAACTTACCCCAAAGCAAATATGCAGGCACAAATAAGTTTTCACTGAAAAATTTTACCATACAAATAAGAACTAGCACTCTCATGTTAAGTTTTTGAAGAAGGCCACAATATCTAGGGACAGCAGAGGAATAAAAATAATAACACTGTCTTGAGGTTAGGATTATGTTGCTACTCAAGTTTAGATATGTTAGGTATGAAAGCTTACACTAATTTTTTTTTTAATTGAAACAATTCCTCATGTAGCTCAGTGCTCATGGTCACAAGTTAATTAAACAACTGGCCATTTTCTGACTATGTGAATGGGTAAAGAGACAGGGTCACACTCTAAAATCAGCTTGCAGTCAAGAGAATACCTTGCAATTGTTCTCCCAGAAAGACTTAGGAAGGAGGTCAATTGGTAGATGTGTCTTGATGAGACGAGGTGATGGATTCTTCTCTAATTGTTCTATACCTGGGGAATTTTAGTTTGGTATTTAGAAATATTAGAGTCTCCAAGGAGCCTGCATTTCCTTATCTTCCCAGCCAATTTTTCAAGAGGCTTTTGAGTAGCATATCATGTAGCTAAATGTTGTGCCAATTACAGGCATTTCTCTATATTCCAAGAGGTAGTATTGTGTAAAATTAAGAGTTTATAATTTGAGACTATCCTTCCTGTGTTAAAATCCTGACTATCTTTTATTCGTTGTGAGATATTTTTAAAATATCTCTATGTTTCATTTCCCCCTTCTTCAAATTGAGGGAATGTAATTCCCCCTTTAGTAATTTAAAGGTTTATCATATCTCCTTCTTCAGGTCTCTCATCCAGTAAATCTTAAAGTCCTATGCATCCTTTTATTGTTTTACACAATATTACTTATATTCAATCTAACGTGTAAATTACCTGTTCATCCTACATAATCTTGCCACATTCTGCATAGGAAGTTCTACACACAAAAAACTGTATCTAATTTACCCATTGAAAATAATAATGGTTTCTGTTGTTTGCAATAATTTATTATATATGTTAAGTCTCTCAGTTACCATTATAACACTCTTCAAATGTTCCATATGACACATATTTGTGTATGTTTACTTCCTTGTTTACTGTTTATTCCCATACCCACTTCCCATCCTCACTCCAAACATACACAATACATTCAGACTCCAGCAAAGTAGGTAGATACTTATTTCCTTCACCAAGTGATGTCCAGTACAGCAGAGAGAACAGGACATGATTAGCATCAATAAGAACCTTCTTTTGTTTTTTAAGGATTGGCAAAAAATCCTTAAAAAACAAATGCCAAATGACTTCTTTGATATAAGGGAA